AAGCATCAATATATGCTCTTCATAGTCCTAATAAATTCTCTCCCAGAAAATGAACTATGTTCATCTAGGGCATTAGAGAGAATATTAGCAAACAGCAAGCTCAGAATGTGATTAACCAAATTCTTCAGCACACAGGGTTTACAAAATATGGATTATTAAAACACAAATATTTAATGAGAACTATCAAGAAAAAAGAATCATATCTTTAAAGGGGCTGCATATTATATTTCAAATGGTTCAAATGGGGTTTTTAAATGGCACTGACTATTTACAAGAACTCATTCTATAAATGCCTATTGCATAAAATAAAAACAATTACAAAATGATAATATCAAGAGTTATTGAGTACTCCTTGTTGGCCAACTCTATTTTAAGATATTCAGAAACCCTCACAAGAACCCTATAAAATAGATACTATTTTATTCCCATTGTAAAAATGAGGAAACTAACTTTGGGGTTTTGTCCAAGGCCATATATGTGGGGTGGAAAAGTTGTGGTAGTTATAAAATCCAGATATCTTCAAAAGTCATACCTTTTATTCATTACATATTTAAAAATCTACATGTAAATACCCACTATATAATAAGTCAATAACAAGACTTGTTCATTAACAAGGCAGTGCCAAGTCCCTTCTTATTTCAGTCTGAATAATTCTAGCACTCTACAAATCTGCCTTGGTGAGTTTCAATTAGAGCAGTATGCTAGATATATTGTATAGACTTTTGACTATTATATGGTTAGCATTTTTACCTGGTAAATCTTTTTTTAAAGATTATATAAGAACATGAATAAATGCTTTTGGCATCCTAGTAATTTAAGAAATATTTGTATCCCACAAACATGCACACATGGACACACATACACACAATATAAGCTGGTCCATAAACTCACATTCTATTTGCAGATCCATTTGTGCAAGAAATGTAATCAGAGTGAAGGACCTCAGCTACAAATTACATGAACAGGCATTACTCTATCAATGTTTAAAAGAGGAAAAAAGCACTTTGAGTTCAGGAGACCCAAGACAGATGTATGGAATGGTAGGGTAGAAACTTTGCTTTTTTGGAAGCTTTATTCTCCAGATGAATGTGAGAGAGAGGGAAAAAAAGGCACTATATAAACAACAGAAGTCTATTTCTCACAATTCTGGATGCTGGGCAGTCTAAAATCAAGGGGCTGGCTGATCCAGTTCCCCAGTGAGGATTCTCCTTCTGGCTTGCAGATGACCACCTTTTGGCTGTCTGTCTTCTCACATGGCAGAGAAAGAGAGAAAGGAAGCATGTTATTAGTGATCATTTCTTATATGGGCACTAATTCCATCATATGAGCTTTGTCTCCTATAACCCTAGTTCCCTCCCAAAGACCTCATCTCCAAATACCATCACATTGGCAGTTAGGACTTCAATAAAGAATTAGGGCACAGGCACAATTCAGTCCACAGAGGGGACTTTGCAACCAAACTTCAGGTCTCAATGACTCTTAGTAGAAGAGTGACTAATTCAGCAGAGGAGTAATATAAGGTAAGCGTGGAAAGACCCAGATCATCCAGATTTTGGAAAACTTAAGTATTACCACACTAAGGAGTTCAATATTGTTATGTAATAAACTTGATCAAAGTCATTAACCAAAAATTCATTTGGTGAGATACATAGGCTGTTTTAAGAAGAGAAGCAAGAGAGAGATATTTAATATAGAATGACTTGTCCCAACGTGAATGTGCCATTAAATGCCTTAAGAATATGGCTCATTTTATAATAAATGTGATTCAAAATGAAGAAATTAGAGTTAAATGATTATGGCAATAAAAGAATCTTAGAAATAAACTTGGGGTATAGGGAACACACTATATATATTTTTTATATAATTTATATATATTATATATACATATATCATGGGCCTCTTGCTCAAGTAAGCACTTAGAAATATATAATAGCTATAGTGTATGGAAATAACAACTTGTGTGGAGGATAGGAAAAATGGGGCAATAAACTCAACTGCTGTCATTTAAAGTTTGTTTTAAGAAATACTAAAATGGCTGCATGAAGTGTAAGGCAAAAAGCATTGTCACTCCAATTTCTTTACACACCTTTTCTTAAATACAGTATTTACAAAATTGTTGGTTTAAGGCATTAAATTAACAAACACAATGATTTTAAAATCATTTGTTCATCTTTCTTTCTCTTACATAAGATAACATTTAAGTTCTTGTATAGTTAGAGAATGGGAATTGAGGATGTAAAGGGAGGAAAAAAACTAAATCCTTACAAAAAGTCCTCTTAATAAAAAAAAAATAAATAAGTAGTTGTTGTTTCAAGGAACTAACAAATCAAGTACTCTAAGTGCCTCTTTCTGCTCTTTAATTCCAAACTTTATAACATCAGTCAAAAATAATCTTTGGTCTTAGAGTTTCCTAAACACAAAGTGAAAATGGTCCACTAGAAGTTTTTTTTAAACTCTTGTTTATAAAACTGTCAAATTTGTTATTAGACAATTCTTACCTCTTTACCTGAGTGAGAGTAGCTTAAAAGACAATAAATAATATGTTAGAAAAAAGTAATCTGTGTCCTATGAGACTTTTTTCTACTTAGCAAGCAATTTTACTGTTTAGAAACTCCCATCTTTAATGGAAAGCATGTGTGTTTATCTTTTATATTTTTTAATTAAGATACATATTTTACTGTATTCTCTTTTTTAAGGGTACCTATAACTGCATATTTCTTCTAAATTTTATCAATTTCATAACTTTTTCTCATTTTAATATTTTTCATTTTACTTACATACATGTATTATTTGCAACATAATATTTTAATATGTAGAATACTTACAAACAATGGTGTGTAGAAGTATTTTTCTAAATTTTTTGCTATCTTATTTGGGAATGATGTAAATGTTCATCTTCAGGTATAGACTTCTTGACTTATTATTTAAATTTAAACACAAGTAATAATTTTGGAATCAATCATTTTAGTTGCTCAGTTATTCCAAATACTCTTTCAACTTAGAAATTGCATCCATTGTCTCAGCCTCCTATTTAGGAAGGTTGGTGGAATCTCCATTAACCATGAATGGTCATTGTTATGCATAGAAAACCTCCATGACTGTTTTGGATAGGCTTTTTTTTAATCATTTTTTTCTTCTTCCTCCCACCCCATGCTTTGCTTTTCTTTGCTTTTCTTTTTTCTTTTCTTTCCTTTTTTTTTCTTTTTTCTCTCCTTGCCCCTCTCATTCCTTTCTTCTATCCCTTCCTTTCTATAAATAAAATAAAGATATTTATATGTGCCATGTGCCTGACTCAGAGTGCTGCATTAATGAAAGGATTCTATTGGAGGATTCATGAATAATCAGATTACTGTTAAAATATAACAAAGACTGTCAATTTTACTGGATTTCCTTTTGCTTAATCAGTTTTACCTACTTTTCATATTTTACTTTACTTCATTAACTTATCAAGGCAAAAGAGAGTACTTTGGGGTTGGATCGGGTGTGGAGAAGATGGCATGGAGGCATTCTCACATAGCCAGACTCAATGTCCTTTAGGAAATCCAGTGTGGTTCATTACAGTGGTTGGTTACAAAAAATGTGCAGATACTCTACAAGTGAAACTGAGCAGCTTTAATCTGGGAAGCTGTTAAAGAGTATACTAACAGATTTACACATGTTGGGGTGAGGAGAGTGTAGCTAACAAAAAATAAAACGCAGTATTACTCAATTTCTAACATCCATGAGAGGGTGAATAAATCTTTCTCTTGCAGTGTTTTTTTCCTAGCTTCCATGGCATGTCTATCATATCTTACAAATCCGTACAAGTCATTATATTTAAGTTGAGAACTAATCATCTCTGCTTACACACCAACATTTTCTTCTGCATTCTCTGTATACACAATGGGAAACACCATATATATTTTAAAGATTTTATTTATTTATTTTTAGATAGAGGGAAAGGGAGGGAGAAAGAGCGGGGCGAGGAACAACAATGTGGTTTCCTCTTGCATGCTCCCTATCTGGGACTTGGTTTACAACTTAGGTGTGTCCATTAGACTTGGCATTGAACCTGTGACCCTTTGATTTTCAGGCCAGCACTCAACCACTGAGCCACACCAGTCAGGGCAGGGAGGAAAAACCATATTTTTGGTTCAATAATTCATAGAGTAGTTAGTGCATATCTGCACCAAACTTTTCAGTCTACTTTTAATGGAAATTAAGAATGATACGGTCTTTAATAAAACTATATTGTTTGACATTCTGAAATTATACTTCCTACTTTTTTACTTCATGTAGTAATAATTCCAACTGGGAGATTTTGTTTGTAATTATGGGTGTTTAGGATGTTACTTGGCAAAATAAAATATAAGAAATTAAATACTTGTATATTCCCCTAGTTACTTTTTATTTGTACTATTCAATGAAAACCCCAGCTCTGTGAACCAGGCTTCTCATATGCTCTTTGTTCCTTTACTTGTTCCAGTAGTTTGGAGACTTCGGTGAAGCTAACAATTACCTGGGACTTTGTTTAAAAATATAGATTTTTGCTACTCCTCTCTCCCCTGTGAGATTCTGCCATCAGTATCTTGCCCTTTATGTACTTTACAATAACCAAATTATTTTGTAAGTTGAGATCCTTAAAAACAAAGGATGTGATTCTTTCAATGAGTTAATTCCTCATGTCCTCAGGTATTTTGGAACTTACTGAATATTCAGTTTCTCGAATGAATGAATGAATGAATGGGGCACGTTTTGAGTTTCAAAGGTTTTGTGGAGTTGCAATTTGCAATTGAAGTCCGGGCTATACACAAATTGGAAATTGCCCATGTTTTTTTGAGAGCTATCTGTTCCTACTTCAGGGTTTCATGACGGGTGCTCAGCTCAATTCTGTTGAATGTTTTATGAAGCTTAGAGGTGGGTTAAACCGCCGTTTCTACATGAAATACAGAGCTTTTCAAATAGCTCCACATCTCTGTCCCAGAGCGTACCCTATTATTACTTGCTTTGAGATTGCCTTGGAAAGAGAAAGTTAAACCACTGGTGGTTGCTCCGGAGAGCAGGGCGAGGCCGGTTGGTTCCTGAGTGCACAAGCCTGCACGGAAGTGCCCAGGCACAACCCAGCTGAGGATACTCGCTTTTCCCGCGCTGCCAGAAGCTGAGCGGCAAAGCACTCCCCAGGGGTATTGAGTACGGGCTGGGGCCCGGAGATTGCAGGCCCAGGGGGCAGCTCCACCACAGGAGACAAGACACGCCTCAGACCGGGCAAATTCCCGGCCTCCTGTGGCCCCAAGCCAGCAGCCGCCGCCCGCCACCTCGTCGCCTTCTCCGGTGCTGCCCCGGTCACCCTGCCGGCCCCGAACTAGCCCGAGCCTGAGCGCGTGGTCCCTTGGCGCTGGGACGCCAGCGAGGTTGGGACGAGACCGATGTGGCGCATGCGTGGTGGCACCACCAGGCACGGGAGCTGCGGGGGCAGGGGCAGCGGTGGGGCCCGGAACGGGCAGGGCCGACCAGGCCGGGCTCGTGGGGGTGGCAGCGGTGGCAGCTGTGGCGTGGGCTGGCGTGGCCGTGCGGGTGGCGCCCGGCAGCAGCTAGAGGAGCGGTTCGCCGACCTTGCGGCGAGCCACCTGGAGGCCCTTCGAACGCGAGACGAACGGGACCGGCAGAACGCCCGGCTGCGCGAGGAGAACGCCCGGCTGCGGCTTGAAAACCGGCGGCTGAAACGCGAAAACCGAAACCTCTTCCGTCAGGCCTTGCGGTTCCCGGGCGAGGGCAGCGATGAAGCGCCCACAGAGACGACGGCGACCCCAGGCTCTGAAGGGGCCTGCACGAACCCCAGGGCGAGTGGTGGCGGCCCCGATGGCGAACCGGGCAGCCCCAGGGCCCTGAGGGCCCGTCTCGAGAAGTTGGAGGCCTTGTACCGCCGGGCCCTGCTGCAGCTGCACCTGGAACAACGGGGGCCACGCCCGAGTGGCGACCTGGAGGAGCTGTCTTTGCGTGAACCCGAGCCCGGCCTCCGAGCCCGGGACGTGGAGCCCCCAGAATCCTGGTTGTAGCCGGAGGCCGCAACCGGAGAGGGGCGGGGCCTCACGCGGGCCCCTCCCCCTCGGCTTCCGGCTCCCCCTACCTAGCGCCCTCCCTGGGCCACGCTCGGTCACGGGAACTGGTTTGCTGAGCTCGACCACGGGACTCTTCCCGGAGGCTGAGAAGGGTGCAGGACTCTGGAGACACGAAGAGTACAGAACCTCTGCCTCTGGCGCCTGCTGATGTCCATGGAGAGAGGCCTAATGACCGAAAGGCGTGTTTTAAAACAGCAAGAAATCTGTCAGGCAACATGTCCTAATGCTTGAACTTTTGTGGGTGTCATAAGGAACTGTTACAATTTTTTACTCTATTTTGGATCTTTGAGGGATGAATAATGCATTTTTAGTTGGTTGTGGTTTTTCATTCTTCAATCCCCTAAAGCCTACAGCCATTATCTTTTCTGTGGCCAAAATTCTAAGTATTGTTTTTATAAATTGATATTTTGGGTTTCTTATAAAGTACCACCCTTTTTATTAAAAAGGTGTTATTTATAACTTAGGAACTCAGTCTGCCTCTGGCTCTAGTCCTTATACATCTAATAATATATTGATTTGTTTACCCCCTCCCAAGGAATTTTTGAAATTCTGCCTATAAGTGATCATTTAAATTGGTAAATAAATCTGGTACATTAAAAATGACCTAAAAACATCCCATGACTATTATTTAAAGTTTATTAAATGTTTACATATTTCTTTAAGAACTATTTTACATATTTTAATATCTAACATCCTTTGCAAGCTAACTTTCTTTTTGCCATATAAGCATTTAAAATAATCCAAAGATAGTGTAAACATTTCATTATTTTTATTACATTTCAGACTTGATATTAGAGTATCTTATCTACTTCTAATTTTGACTGCTTAAGAATTTTAAAGAAATTAAGAATTGTTTGTATATCAGAAGCCCTAAAACAAGATGATTTAAGTCTCAACTGTGATTTCAATGGCAAAAAGTCATTAATTTTACACCAAATGTTCTAAAATCACTTCAGTGCAATTTGTTAATGAATAACACTTTTTATTACTAAGTAGTGAAGAGGATACCATTGTACCCGATAAAAATCATGGGTGTAAGAGAGTGTTTAAGTGTTGGAAAACACTTCAGTTCAAGAAAAAGAGAAACCATGAGAAGAGTTTTTATTATAGCTAGAAAAAATAATCATTAGAGTTTTATTTGTGGCATACTCCACAAGTTTCAAATATATAGCATATAATATAAAGCAAGTTGCAAAGAAAAATAGTTTTGTGAGTTTTGTAGTCCTGGGTTTTGAAGACATTATGCATCTTATTTAAAGATAGTTGATATTTACTGTGTTTTACTGCATACACCCCTGTTTTTGGCCCAAACTTTCAAGAAGAAAATTTTTTGTTTTAATTTTTTAATTTAATTTTTTATTTATTTATATTTAAATAGTTGTTTTTAGCATTATAAAGGAATTTTAGCATTTACTTTTGAACATATATAGTAAAGAAATTTTATGTAACATATAGTTACAAAACACAAGAACAGATACAAGGTACAAGAAATTTTATGTACTGTTACAAATTAGTTATTATACCCATGTATAATGACATCCTTATTTTTCCCTCAAAAGCTTGGGCAAAAAAGTGCATTATACATGGCAAAATATGGGTATTTGTGAATATTAAAGTCTCCCTCATGACAGAAAAATGAGAAGAAAGTGAGAATAGGTAGGTATATAAAAAGTATTTCTATCTCCTTTAGTTCATTTTCTAATTATGAAAGAAATTAAATATTTTTAGGTGTCAGTAGGAATTGCAGGAAGGGAAAAAGCATATCAGCCCTACTGCTACTTAGGGTTTAAATTAGTTAATTTCTCATCATTAAAATTAGTATAACCTACCTGAAAATGTTACACAAATTTTAGTGAGCTTATGTGTATAAATAAATTCCTGCATCAAAGTAAATGTGCTATCAGTGAGAATTACAATCCAAAATGTGAAAGTCATGAATGAATATTTTTGACACCTTCCTTTGCCATCTGTATTTTGGTCGTTTATGACTTTATAAGTATTAACAGAGAAATGTTGACATTTTTCCACTTCTCTATTTGCTAATATAGTAAACACATAAGATAAAGCCCTATGTAATACAAGAATAATGTAATGAAAGTTAAAAAATATTGCCAATTGTAAAATCGGGAATATTCAACAAAAATTCAAAATGTTTAGTTTATATAGTTTTTAAACACCTTTTGTCTTAAAACCATGTGCAATATAAATGTGTAAAGTAATGAGGCATGCACAAAGGACTACTTTTTAGCTTAATTCCTGAAAACTGTTAAACATTCTTAATCCAAAATGTCCCATAAAATGGATTAAGGCTAACTGTATTTCGACTTTGTTGAAGTTACCTGTTGATAATTGATGATGTATCATGAAATAACATAAAAAATGTTATATTAAAGTATAGACCTGTTTAAGAAATGGGTAATACTGGTTTTAGAAGGGTTCAATTTGGGACCTTGTTTAAAATAAACTAAACCTGCAGATCATCATACTTGTTAAAATAACATTTGATTTTCATAATTTCAAATTTGTTCTTGTGTAATGAAAAGAGGGCTTATAAGTTGTACAAATGAGCAACAAAAATGTGTCAGTGAAGAGAACTGACATTTTTTTATCAGCAACTTTTTTTGCATGGCTACTACTCTCAAAAATACACTTTTTGTTTTTTAATGAAATTAAAATATAAATTGAAGCAATATAAAATGAGTACTTACATAGGTTATAGAATATTCTCCTTGCTAAATTTGAACACTACAAATATTAAAGATTACTTGAAAACAATTTGTTTGTTGTTTAAATGGTCTTAGATTTAGGTTTGCCAGTTCATGAATAGTGACAGGATGAAACTAATACCTAATTATTTAATGAACTGAATTATCACTATATGTTAAGTAATTATTAGCGGCATGACTTTGATTCTAGTCCAAAATACCATTTTCTGTTTTATTACAAGGAAGAGGTTTTTACTTAGAATTTGTCACAAAATCTTTGTGAATGAATGACACAATTTAATATTTCTGTTTAGTGATTAATAAATCAAGTATAAATTCCATTCTACTATAAATCTTTTCTGATATATATCTTATCTATTTGATATAGACAATATTTCCACAATGCAAATATGAACAAAAAAACCTAACCTTTAGGTAATACCCACCTCTGACTTTATGAGGATTAATCATACTCAAATTTTAAATTATAAAGCTTATACTCACATAAGCATCTTTCAATGGTCAGAATTAAACTACATTGTGTTTTGTCCATAGCAGATTTTGCTTATTATAAAAATCATATTCATAATCTTATCAGGGTCATCTTTGCATATTTCATGATTATTAGTAAGGGAGTCCTTTTTTGAACCCAAACTGTCAGACATCTCTTGTACTTTGAGACAACAATAGAGAAAGGACAACAGTGAGTTTGTTCTATGCTTGATTCTTGAATAATTAGCATTTTGTTCTAAAAATTGAGTTATCTGTGGGAGAAACTTGAACAGTCTATTTCAGGAATTTTCAACTGGTGTGCTGCAAGAATTTTTAAAATGTGCAATACCTGACTAGTCAGGGGCACTGACCTCTTTTCTCTTAAATTCTCAAATTAAAAAAAAATGATAACAGCCAATGCAACATAGTTGCCTGGTGTGAATGAATCAAAATTATACCTGTTTATTTTGTCAGATGGGCAAAAAATATACTTTTTCAAGTGCCATTGATTTTTAATAACTAGTTTATGTGTGCCATGAGATGAAAAAGGTTGAAAGCCACTAATCTATAGTATATTCCATACTTAGGACTAATAAATGTGTCCCTTGGCCTTTCATTTTTCCAGATCTCCTCACTTTATCTTTTAAAATATATAATGTATTTTGTATTTTAAACTTCATAGATCTGCCTTTAGTTATGATGAAGACTGTGTTACTAATAACCCAAAACTATGAAAAACAATGATGATTTTTAAAAATCTAGTAAAATTCCTAATTCAGGGGCTTCAGGGTGTCAAGAAGCTCTGTTCCACATGGTCATTCAGGGTCTCAGATTCTTTTTATCATGTTCTGCTTTGCCCTATGTCATTGTTTTGTCTGCATGGCAAATAGTTCACTTCCAGAACCAGGTGTCAGCAATTCAGGAAGGTAAAAAGAGGCCTACCTAGATCTGAAAATAATATACATTTTCCTGGTCACATTCTATTGGCAAAACTTCATCACACAACCCATTTAACTTCAAAGGTTGCTAAGAAATGTAGTCAAGCTGTAGTCTTTTGCTGAACTATTGTTTTATTACTTTGGAATAATAGGAGAACTCATTTTGGTAGACTACCATCTTAATGGAGGCAGGCATTTCCTTAAATTTTGTAAAGAATTTATAAGTCTTGGTACAGCATTTAAAAAATTATATAACTTAAAATAAAAACATAATGTGATTGCTTTATAGTTTTTTTCTTTAAATCTGACCTTTTTATTATCTATGGTACTATCCTTTTGAGTATAAAAGATAAGATTGCTTGAAATAAGCAAGAAAATATAGCTATTACCTTTTATATAGGAAATCTCAATAAAGTATGAACCATCTCTCAATTGAGTATTTGTCATAAATTATATGGTTTTAAAAACCTATACTTGGTAAACATTATTCTATTTCATATGTAAATCTATCTATCTATATATATATATATAACTTGAGGGACATACATTTTCTCTTCACCCTGTTTCTTATCTACTAGTATTCTACAACTTTTAGAGCTGAAAGACACTTTAAAGGGTTTTAGCCAGCATCTGTAGTAGACTGTTCTGCGTGGCGTGGGCCCAGCTCCCACTGGGAGATGCACAGGACCCACGCCAACAGATGGATTCTCCCGTGGGGAATCAGGCCTGCAAAGAACCTAGGCAGCTATGAGTCTTGCTTTTTGCTAAAACTCCCTTACCTTGAATTGAGGAAATTTACTGCAAAGCAACTTCCTAAAATCTGTGCTAAACCTTTCAAGGATGAGATTAATGGATCCAACTACTTTTGCCTTTTCATTTGCAAGTATACCTCTTCTGTGATGTGATGAGCATCATTGTCTCCTTTGTTTTCTGTAAAAGGTAACCACCTAAAGTGAGCCTGTGCATGGTTAATGGGGGCCTTCTTGTAATGTGCCCAGTAAGATAATAAAAGCCCATTGGAGCAAGGGCGGAGGTTTTTGCTCCCCTTAAGAGAAAAGCCATGCTGTCCCTTTTCTTCCATCAGACTTGGTAGTCCCTGTGAATGTCTCATTTCATCCATGATGACACAGACTCCATGAGCCGGGGTCCACATCAGCATCCTTCAGACTTTGCGAGCAACCTAACAGCTTTCACAGAGAACCACATCTACATTGCACTTCATAATTTAGAATATGCTAATCACAATCCTAGGTAGTATTAGTTGTTCTTGTTTATGAATGAGAAAACTGAAGAACAAAGAAATTGAGTAACTTCCAATTTCAAAAAGT